CATTGGTTTTCATTGCAAAATAGTTCTTTTTTCATAGTTCTACGACACCAGTCGTGGAGGGTACCCTTCGGTGAGCCTGAAAAACTCATTTTTTTAATACAATATAAAAAGAAATTGATCATTTCGGGGTGCCCGTTTTTTTTGTTGAAATGTTCTAGTTGAGGAACTTCAGACATCCAGGGTTGCTACTCCCCAAAGGGAATTACGTATATAATGTATACCCTTATAAGGCCTTTATACATGAAAGAGACCCAATTCCTTGCAGAACTACATACATAGAATATAGGTCCCAAGTGAAAATATTCATCATTTTTTTGAGGAACACCACCCAATTCCATTGGTTTTCATTGCAAAATAGTTTTTTTGTCATAGTTCTACGACACCAGTCGTGGGGGGTACCCTTCGGTGAGCCTGAAAAACTCATTTTTTTAATACAATATAAAAAGAAATTGGTCATTTCGGGTGACCTGTTTTTTTGTTGAAACGTTGTAGTTTAGGAACTTCAGACATCCAGGGTTGCTACTTGCCAAAGGGAATTACGGATATGATATATACCCTTATACATGGAAGAGACCCAATTCCTTGCAGAACTACATACATAGAATATAGTTCCCCAATGAAAATATATTCATCAATTTTTTGAGGATCACCACCGAATTCCATTGGTTTTCACTGCAAAATACTTTTTGTTTTCATAGTTCTACGACACCAGTCGTGGGGGGTACCCTTCGGTGAGCCTGAAAAACTCATTTTTTTTATACAATATAAAAAGAAATTGGTCATTTCGGGTGACCTGTTTTTTTGTTGAAACGTTGTAGTTTAGGAACTTCAGACATCCAGGGTTGCTACTCCCCAAAGGGAATTACATATATGATATATACCCTTATACATGAAAGAGACCCAATTCCTTGCAGAACTACATACATAGAATATAGGTCCCCAGTGAACATATCAATCATTTTTTTGAGGATCACCACCGAATTCCATTGGTTTTCATTGCAAAATAGTTCTTTTTTCATAGTTCTACGACACCAGTCGTGGGGGGTACCCTTCGGTGAGCCTGAAAAACTCATTTTTTTAATACAATATAAAAAGAAATTGGTCATTTCGGGTGACCTGTTTTTTTGTTGAAACGTTGTAGTTTAGGAACTTCAGACATCCAGGGTTGCTACTCCCCAAAGGGAATTACATATATGATATATACCCTTATCCATGAAAGAGACCCAATTCCTTGCAGAACTACATACATAGAATATAGGTCCCCGAGTGAAAATATTCATCAATTTTTTGAGGAACACCACCCAATTCCATTGGTTTTCATTGCAAAATAGTTTTTTTTTCATAGTTCTACGACACCAGTCGTGTGGGGTACCCTTCGGTGAGCCTGAAAAACTCATTTTTTAAATACAATATAAAAAGAAATTGGTCATTTCGGGTGACCTGTTTTTTTGTTGAAACGTTGTAGTTTAGGAACTTCAGACATCCAGGGTTGCTACTCCCCAAAGGGAATTACATATATGATATATACCCTCATACATGAAAGAGACCCAATTCCTTGCAGAACTACATACATAGAATATAGGTCCCCAGTGACCATATTCATCATTTTTTTGAGGATCACCACCGAATTCCATTGGTTTTCATTGCAAAATAGTTTTTTTCATAGTTCTATGACACCAGTCGTGGGGGTACCCTTCGGTGAGCCTGAAAAGTTCATTTTTTAAATACAATATAAAAAGAAATTGATCATTTCGGGGTGCCCGTTTTTTTTGTTGAAATGTTCTAGTTGAGGAACTTCAGACATCCCGGGTTGCTACTCCCCAAAGGGAATTACGTATACAATGTATACCCTTATAAGGCCTTTATACATGAAAGAGACCCAATTCCTTGCAGAACTACATACATAGAATATAGGTCCCAAGTGAAAATATTCATCAATTTTTTGAGGAACACCACCCAATTCCATTGGTTTTCATTGCAAAATAGTTTTTTTGTCATAGTTCTACGACACCAGTCGTGGGGGGTACCCTTCGGTGAGCCTGAAAAACTCATTTTTTAATACAATATAAAAAGAAATTGGTCATTTCGGGTGACCTGTTTTTTTGTTGAAACGTTGTAGTTTAGGAACTTCAGACATCCAGGGTTGCTACTCCCCAAAGGGAATTACGGATATGATATATACCCTTATACATGAAAGGGACCCAATTCCTTGCAGAACTACATACATAGAATATAGGTCCCCAGTGAAAATATATTCATCAATTTTTTGAGGATCACCACCGAATTCCATTGGTTTTCATTGCAAAATAATTCTTTTTTCATAGTTCTACGACACCAGTCGTGGGGGTACCCTTCGGTGAGCCTGAAAAACTCATTTTTTAAATACAATATAAAAAGAAATTGATCATTTCGGGGTGCCCGTTTTTTTTGTTGAAATGTTCTAGTTGAGGAACTTCAGACATCCAGGGTTGCTACTCCCCAAAGGGAATTTCGTATATAATGTATACCCTTATAAGGCCTTTCTACATGAAAGAGACCCAATTCCTTGCAGAACTACATACATAGAATATAGGTCCCAAGTGAAAATATTCATCAATTTTTTGAGGAACACCACCCAATTCCATTGGTTTTCATTGCAAAATAGTTTTTTTTTCATAGTTCTACGACACCAGTCGTGGGGGGTACCCTTCGGTGAGCCTGAAAAACTCATTTTTTTAATACAATATAAAAAGAAATTGGTCATTTCGGGTGACCTGTTTTTTTGTTGAAACGTTGTAGTTTAGGAACTTCAGACATCCAGGGTTGCTACTCCCCAAAGGGAATTACATATATGATATATACCCTTATACATGAAAGGACCCAATTCCTTGCAGAACTACATACATAGAATATAGGTCCCCAGTGAACATATTCATCAATTTCTTGAGGATCACCACCCAATTCCATTGGTTTTCATTGCAAAATATGTTTTTTCATAGTTCTACAAAGTTCTACAACACCAGTCGTGGGGGGTACCCTTCGGTGAACCTGAAAAGTTCATTTTTTAAATACAATATAAAAAGAAATTGGTCCCTTTGCGGGACGGGTTTGAATAACAGGCGGCTGCAGCAATCCAGCAAAACCTGAGAAAACATATTTTCCTGGATCAAAATGGATAGCCGGAAATATTCTATGTATAGGTTTTTTTTCGATTCCGGAAGATGCTTTTATTCTATGTATAGGTTTTTTTGACCGATTCCGGAAGATGCTTTTGGAGGCCGAAATTATCGATTCTGTATTCTATGTATGCCATCGAGATTATATATATATATATTATATTATCTATATATATTATTTTATATTATGTGTATATATATATTATATTATGTATATAAATATGTATATATATTATCATATATATATATATATATTTATATATTGTCATGTATGTATATATATATGTTATTTTGTAATATATACATATTTTTTACATTATGTATATATTATATATATAGTAATATATATATATATTATTATATATATATATATTATTATATATATATTATTATATATATATTATTATATATATTTATATATATATATTATTATATATAGCGTAAGCCTGAGTGGTATTCGCTTGTAATTGTGTGAGATGCATGTGGTTGGCGGGGGGAAGGGGGTTCGCGTGAAAAATCACGCGTTTGGCATTTGGTTTGCTAGCTACCGCTAGCTTTGGTGACAAATTAGTCAACAAGTTCCAGCCTGAGTTCCGACCTGCATGGCTTAGGCCCTTGCATTTCATCAGGCATCTGGAGGAACGAAGATCCTGCGACAGGCAGACTGTGAACTGTGGAGTGAAGAAGTAACGAATCTTCCCATGTGTGCTTCTCCAAGCTTCCCACCTGTACAATTACTCTATTCGACTCTATCCCTCTCTGCACACCGTCATGCTAGCAGCTGCCAACAGTGGTATCCAAGTTCGGTCCTCCATATGTTGACTTCATTTCGTTTGAAGCGCTTCCTTGAGGCAACGTACCACAGTTGATCTGGAACAAACAAATTCCGCAAAGCTGAGTGGACCACCAGACAATGCTTCCTTTGCCTTTGCAACCTGGCCCAAAAAAGGCCATTGCAAATCAAAGCACGTTGAAAATTGCTACTAGGACACGCACAACACATGTCGCGATTCTAGTTGAAGAAAAGATTAAGACTTTTCCTGTGAGTCGATGTACTATAAATACTCTGGAAGAGTACAGTCAGTGGGATTTTGACTGCTTCAAAGAGGTTTGCACCCCATCCAAGGCTGGGTTACAACATGTCTCTAAACTATTTCAGACATGGTTTCTTCAGCGCATTGAACAAAGGTATTATTGGCAACAATTTCCAATCCTAGATTCCACCTTCTCCGAAGGTGCCAAAAGTTTTCCGTCAGCGCACATTGATGGCTCGTAGTTGCAAGTGCTGCGGCTTTCTGTTTTTGCAGGTTTCGCTAAATTGCTGAGAAAATGGTATTCACACGTTGCGCTCAAATTGCTCCAGGCGCTTGCTTTTAATTTGACCAATTTAAGCCCAAGATGGGCTCAGCATTGTGGCAACGCAAATGGACTTTCTAAATCGGGCCCATCACATGCTTAAGATGGCCTGACCTGGGCAGAGCATTCAACATGGACCCCTGGGACTTGACTAAAGCTTGTGGGCTGTTTGGATTGAAACAGTGAAGCACTTTTGAGTTGGTGTTGCAGTGTTGCATAAAGTCTGTGAGTGTGAGTATTCAAAACACACCTCTTTGGGAAACACTCTCCATCTTTTAACAAGAAGCAGTGTAACACAAGCCCATGCATGAGAAGCCTCCCACAGGACAATCTTGAACGGCACAGGCCTTCTACTCAAATGCTTTCTATACAACAAATCTCATATACATATATCACATATGTACAGTATAAATAAATTCTGAGTATGTATGTAGATACAACATTATGTATGTAGACCATATATATATATTATTTATATATATACTATACTATACTATACCATACCATACCATATTATACTATACTATACTATACTATACTTTACTATACTATTACATTACTAATACTCATACATTACTATTATATACTATTACTATTACTATACTATATTATACTATACTATACTATACTATTACTAATACTATACTATACTATTACTATTACTACGACTATTTCTATTACTATTTCTATTGCTATTACTATTACTATTACTAGTACTATTACTATTAATATTACTATACTATACTATATACTATACAAAACACTGAGTATATATACATTACAGTGCACCAAAAGCACTTGGTGCAAAATGCCCCTTACAACACACTCCTTGTTGGGAATTCTTGTTTGAAACGTCTGGCACTAGTCTTTAGGCCAAATCCCTTTTACACAAGGAGAATGTCTGACAAGAAATTCAGGGTTCTGAACTGCAGTGCATGAATTTTGGTGCTGTTGGTCTTCGTTGCCGACACAACTTCAATTGAGAGTCCTCATAGTGAGGCGTTGATGATATAATGTAAGAAAGAGGCTAGATGAAAATGCTTGGGCTTGAGGGACACAAGAGAAAGTGCAACTCTTCAGGGCTTATAGATTCATTGTTGGCAGGAATTGCGCGGGGCAAACTCAAGGAGCATCTTGCCACTATCAAAAGGCCAGTGAGCAAAAATAGATGGAAATAGTTCATCCATTCCATGATATGTATACTTCCTTTCTTCCAGTTGTTCCGCTTTCTCGATTTTTTCCCACGTTCCCATTCACTTCGTTCTTTCTCTTTCCCTCTTTGTTTCACTCTATTGTCGTGTTGCCAAGCCATTCCCTGATGAAAGCATGAGGGCGGTTTCCAATACTCATGATACAGCGCTGGCTTCTGCATGTAAAACCGTAGGGGTCTGTGTCTCACCATATAACATGGCTGTTTCCTGACTCTGGGAAGCTGGTTCTTGATACAAGAAGGATGCAATCACGGCTTTTTGAGCTTATATATTAGATCCAGTATAGAGAGTATACAAATATGAGTAGTTCCTTCTGTGCCAGAACCGTGATATTCAAAGGGGCATGCAACTGGGATAAGCATGCTCATGTGGACTGCAAATGCTGCAAGATCAACCACTAGGCCGAACACAGTCCAAACAAGTCCATTTCTTGTTGGAAATCAAATCAGTGTGCACTGTGTCGGGGGCTGCGGGGCTGCAATCCCCGGCCTGATCAATGGAAGTAACCAAAGATGTTTCATCCTCTTTGAAGGCCTTCTGCCTTGCAAAGTGCATGTTTGAACGCTTCACCGCATCGCATTTTGCAGTCTTGTGTAAGCTTGTCGCAGAGAATCTGAATAGGTGAAGGCAAGTCTGGTTGGATTCGTGCATTTCTTTGCAGCGCATCATGGCCGTGAATTCATGCTGAATCACTCACTGAATGACTCAAAAAATCTAGCATGCAGCATGCTGCTTTGTTAAGAAAAGTTTGTTTGGTTGTTGAAGGGAGGATTGGTTTCCGTTATCAATTACAGCATCTGAGCTATCCAAGCCAGCAAAAAAAGTCAAAGTATGACTTCTGAATTGGCTTCTTCAAAAAATCCAATTGGTCAAATCTACAAAGCCTATCCCTATGCACCTTATGCAGATAGTGAAGTGCAATTTTCGAGTACACTGATGGGGCTCAAACTGCTGCACTCTGATGGAGTAGGCTTTGTCCATCGTCTGGCATGAAAGAATGCTGCACCAGCTGTGCAAACTTCAAACATTTCAAATTTCTTTAAGGGAGCCAGACAAACCGCTTTGTTTTTGTTGAGTTCCACGTTTGCACTTCGAATTTCTCCTCCAAGTTGATCAATGCGTGGACCCAACTCCTGTCCAACAAAGACTCTGGTCAGGCCCAGTTCTTCTCCTCCCTCAATACTGGCGTTCTTTGTGTTTGTAATTTTTATTATTTTTTTGCGGTCCTCCACCAAAGCATTCAGACTGGACAATTTCTCCCTTAAAGCAGATTTGAATAAATTGCAATCCCAACAACACACCGGCAATGGCTTGCAATCATGGGACAAAACTGGCAAAGAAATGAATGATTGCTGTATTATTAATCACTCGTATTCAAGTATTCAATCGTTAAAAAAGCGCTGAGGAAGCGGCTGGGCGGCGGCGATGGCTTCCTTCTTGTCTTTGTTATTTGTTTTGCACCAACAGTCCTTGGACATTTCGATCATTTGCAGATTTTTATATAATCTAAATCCCTCTGGGAAGTCAAATTCAAGTATGGTGTTGATATGATCTTAAGATATGAATTTGATACGCTTTGAATTTGGGGTTATGTTTTCGATATGGTTTTGTTATGATTTTGATATGGTTTTGATATGGTTTGGCAACGGAGCACCTTTTTCAGGGTTCCCGATGGGTCGGCTTCAAAAAGGAAACGGAAACAGCCCCAGGACAGGCGTTTGGTTGATTTCTCGGGGTTTTTTGTGGTTTTGATATGTTGTGATATGATTTTGATATAGTTTTGATACTGTTTGTTGCGATTTTGAGGCGATTTGGATGTGATTCTGACATGATTCTGAAATGTTGCCAATTTATTTTCAAAAAAACAAACTAAACCATACAAAACCTGAAAAGAAACAGAAATCACACGTTTGACCCACATCAAAATCACAATTTTGACCCATATCAAAATCACAACTGAAACCATATCAAAATCAGAACTGCAAAACCAGGCCAGAAACAAATCATAACAAGAAATCATCAAAAACATAAACAAAATAGGTTGAAAAACTCCATCCTAGAGGATCTAGAGGCTTCTGATGTTATAAGCATATTTACATATATTTACCACAAAAACATGCACCCATACGCAAATGCAGCAAGTCTGGGAGCAATAGACATAGGCCGGTGTCAAAATATCAAAGAACAGCGGAAGAAAGGGGCTCGGGCGAATTTGTCCTTCATCTCTTCATCTGACTTTTGGTCGGCTTCCAGGTTCTTCGTCATGGACTAGCAATCAAGCTCAAATCGGTTGCCAAGGATATGACGGAACTACAAACGGCAAGTGCCTCTAATAGCGTCACGACCTTTGCAATCGGTTTCTCATCACCGGCGCTGAAGTCCAGCAGTGATTCCACTGCCGTGCCTGAGTTTCGCTGCAAAGGATGATTGGCCCATGGCAAAATCCTTTAATACCTTTAAAAACTTTACAAATGTTCCAAGTGTGAACGCTCTTCTGGATACGTGCTTAGACATATTGTCCCAGGGCGAAGCGACAGAATCCGCCAAGGTGATTGCGGACCACGTGCAAACAAGTGTTTTTGTACATGTGTATGTGTATATATATATATATATACACATCTGTGTATGTAATGTATATATATATATATGATATATGTGCGTGCATATGTATATATCTTATATATAACATATATGCATATACGTTCATATAATGGTCGTTTGATCAGAACCTAGATGGGTCGGATCAGCGCGGCTGGACCGGAATCTACATGGGTTGGATCGGACGGTATAGATGGTAACCTTGCGGACTACCCCCCGACCATCCCGACCGTCCCTGAAGAAACCCTGATGAAACCCCAAAGAAACCCGAATGAAACCTGAAAAAAAAATCGAAAGAAACCCTAAAGAAACCCTCATCCCGACCATGCCGACCATTTGTCCACGATGTTGATCCAGGATGGTCTTTGACACTGATTCTGCATGCTGATCCGGACCTTTGAATGTTGATTCAAGACGCTGCTCTGTGACGCTGATCCGACTCGATGGTTTCTGATACGGAATTTCTCGTGTATTTGATGATATTTGTAGCACTACTAACAAAGAAATCACAGCAAGCAGGATCAGGACCAGGACTGTTTTCCAGACTCCAAGACAATTGCCTGTGGCTAGCATTCGCAATAAGTTGCCACATTGCAAGACGTGCCAATGATCGTTTCATACGATTTCATCGTCGTTCGTGCAAAACAGGTTGTCCCTCATGTCCAAGGTGAAAAGGTCAGAGTCGCAGTCACAAACAAAAACAGTCCGTTGATATAAATTGCATGATTTGTCCTCACTTCAGTGTATATTATATATTGTATGTCTATTTGTGTATTATACTTCATGCCTTCATTAATCCTCGATCGAAGAGCAGCTTCTCTGCGTTTTGAACACATTCTTGGTCGTGACATATCATGACTGTAGGCCACAAAACACAGCCTCCCGAAGCTCCCTTTTACGTGCCAACCGGCCAGCCAAGAAATTAGCTATATAATTAGTTCAAATGGATGGAGTTCCCTTCCATTCAGCCAGAAAACTCAGCGGCAGAATAAGGAGAATCCAGCACAGCATCGCCCTGCGACGCAAAAAAATATTCCGCGGTTCCAATCACAACTGGATCACTGCACATCATCCTTATATAATCCTCAGGAGGACCCGACATGACTTATGCTGAGCACAAATATTGCAATGCCTTGCAATGCTGAAAGTCCTGCAACTCCTTTCAATTTGATGCGGTCAGAAGCAGTTCTGCCCCTTGGCACCTGGGCAGCTGTGAGCTTCAGTATTTTCGGGCGACACTGCCTCAAGCTGCAGGAGTCACAGGATGTCTTGCAAAGCGGCAAGACTCTAGAGGACCTCCCTTCAGTAGAGAGAACATCAGTGTTTCAAGTGTTTTGAACAGCAAAAATCATTGTGTTTTGATTGTTTTGAAACTGCAAAAATTGCACTGACTTTTAATTTTTATACCGGCCTCTTTGCAGAAGAGTTTTTGCACAGACCAGTTCGACGTAAAGCTGAGTGCCCTGACCCTGCAAAAGCAGAACGGTGCCGAGCTCCCCGAGCCAAAAAGAGCAGAGGAGCGTTTTTGTTTGAATACTCAAAATGAAGGACTGCAATGGACTGGAATGGATCAGTGCAATGGACTCCCTCTCGGAGAAAATGGGAAAGTTGTGGAAGGCAAAAGCTACGCAGAAAGCAGTGTGGCCCCAACCGGCAAATGAAAAGTACTGAAATTGGAACACAGAGTCCTTGTTGCAATTTGTCTGCTGCGTTTTGGGATCTGCAATGACGAGCATTCCCACAAAATTGATCTATACAAAGTGTCGAAAAAATCTTAAACTCTTTACACTCGTCTGACACCAATACTTTCACTCATCACACTTTGTGCGACGGAAAGGCCAACCACCTTTGGAGGCGGTGTCCAGAGGTGCAATTCATTTTTTTTGGGAATGTTCAAAAGCACAGTGTGCGGATCTTGGCAAGGAGTTTTTCTCTTCCTTCAACCTCCATCGGCACCTAGGTCATCAGACATCAGTGCTTGGCAGGCTGCCATCAGTAAGGAAATGCAACAAAAATCTTTGTACACTCGCTGAGGTAAGTGTCAAGCAGACTGAGTCACAGTCTCCCTCGCTTCTGATGTGGTGCTGAGCAACCTGTAAATGACAAAGCACCCGTTGCAATGTAAAAGGAAAATGCTGCAACCCCTGTTTCTAGGCGGTATACGTCCAGGACCAAACCCTATTTCAGCAAAGACTTCCAGCTTGTCATCCCATCAAAGCTGTGAGGCTACAGAGTTCCAAATTCTTGGAAAGCGTTACTGTTGGGTGGTGTAAGGCACGTGGCTAGAACGTGCCATCAAGCTGTGGCCTGTGGGAGGGGCTGGATTGTCTGGTGCCCATGGTGCCCATTGTCTCTTCATCGCTGGTGGCATTTGACTCAACACTTCCAATGCATAGACTACGTTGGCAGAATTAGGTTGCCACTACCGCCCCTCACTTCAGATTCGAAAGGGGGACAGCTACAGACGTTGGTATATTGGCTCCCATTATTCTACTTATTCATTTATATGTATATCTAGATTTTTATTTTTATCTATATGTGTATATTTAATTTTATATGTATATTTATATTTGTATATTCATATTTTGCGGCATATTTATATTGAAAATGTATATCATTGTATATCTATATATATATAAATATGTATGTATCTTTATATTTGTATTTCTATTTGCATTTAAATGTATCTTTACATTTGTATTTATATGTGACATGCGTAATATGCATGTATCTTTCAGGGTTTCTTCACAAAGCACACCAAAGCTTCGAAAACTGGCCTCAAAGCACTGGCAGCCCAAGCTCTTGTTCTGGCTTTGCCAACCTTAGCAAATACCGCAACACTCCATACTCTGGTAGGAAAAATGCTTGAAATCCTGCAGGTCACAAGTCAATTTGTGATCTCCCTTGCCAGCAAGATCCAAATAATACAAAAGCCGCAAAAGGAAGTGGGAAAACATATCAGTTCGCAGCTTTACTGAAATAGAACTGCCTGAGGTCAGAAAAGGAGTCCTGTGCAAAAATCGGAGGATGCCATGGATTCTGTCACAAGAATCCCCGCAACTATTGCGAAGCCGAGATCAAGGCTCTGATCAGGGACACCAATGCAGGCAATGGCTCAGCAGCACGCAAGGGAATCTCACAGGGAATCGAGAAAGCTGAGCGACCACAAGAAGACCATAAAAAAGATTGCGTCTGCTTCTACTCAGCCAATCAGGCATCTTCTTCATCTGACTTTGAAAAGATGTACAAAACTGTAAACAATGCTGTACAGCCATAATCATACATACATAGGCTATAAATAGATATCCCATTGCCATTATATGTATAATATACACCGACAATATATATATATATAATATATCAAATATATCTTTCTGCTGTTTTTAAGTTGCCTCTTCCTATGAATGCATTTCTTAAAGGCTGGACATTCTGCTGGCCCCCGAGCCTCGATATCACCTCGAGCTGCCAGTCGGAAAATAACATGGCTTGCAGCACACCGAATTTCTTCGGTAGCGCCTTTCAGCACCAGATTTTCTAGTGCTATATTTTGCTATTCAAAATGCTTGCAGTTTCAAAGGCTGTTCTATGGCGCTCATGAGTCTAGCAGTATGGTTGCAAATAAGTTGTACGAACAAGTGAAGAGAATGTTGTGAATGGACCTTGTAGTTGGCGGACAACGAGAGCAACTTCACCTTCGTGAAGACAACTATGGTGCCCAAGAAACATGTTTGAATTCTTCCAGTATTCAAGGTGTAGCAGTGTAAACAGCGTCTAGGAATCTCAAAGTTGCGCCAAGGTTCCGGAGAGCATCTCCTCCATGTCCAGAGTCGCACAAAGTCCACTTTGGCCACCCTAGCAGTGCGCAGTTTAGGCGATTCTGCAGAGACATAAAACCCAGAACGCTGAATTTGACCCTGTACCAGGAAACACCCCATCAACAGAATCAACAGTACAGCAATTACAGCAATGATCTTAGACCTTCCTGCATTTTTTCCGTTTTTGTTGCCCTCGGAGTGTCCAGATTTGTACGTGTGTGTGTGTGGGCCTGTCCATCGCCCCTATCCAGGGTGACAACGGCAGCAATTGCCTCTAATGCCTTCCGGGAAGTTCCGATCAGGGCAAACCGGAGCGGCAGAAGTACCCAGTGAGAGAAAGCAAGAAACTCAGGAAATTGAAAGCCAACATTGCAAGAAAACACAAAGAAGAGGCAAAATTTACCGGTTTAAACTCATGAAGGAGACGCCATGTACTAAATATAATATATCTATATAAATATAATATTGCAACATCTTTGATGCACAATGTGACACGTTAGCCCAAATCACTCAATCTTTCTGACTTCCCCACTCTTCCAGAACGATCGTTTCAGCCAGCTGATGCATCAGTGATGTCAGAAATGTATCCAAGATTGTACATAAAACAGTATAATTAATTTAATCATGCGGCAGGGTCTTCTTCTGGAAGAAGCAGCTTTCTAGATGACTTTTGATCGCAGATAACGTACTGCAAATAGCATCAGCATGGCACTTACACAGCTGGCCAAATGAGAATAATTGACAAGTGCAAGATAAAAGCACACAATCGATGCATCTAAATGTGAACGAGACAAGTTGCTACTTCAAGAATGAAAATATTCACATTGGTCCCAAAAATCATTTACTCAACTAGCCCACAAGCAGAGGAATCATGAAATGCAACCTCAGACTCCTTAGGTGTGGAATCAGAAGAATCGTGCAGATTCCAAACAGTCAAACCGTAAGTCAGTGCTGAGCAAGTGGGATCAAAGCATCAGTTCATACCAAACATTCCAAAAATCTCGCAGCAACTTGGCATATCCGCCGACCCCGCTTGCAGCAGGGGGAGCGCGTCAGAGAAGAGATTGCAAGCAGCAGTGCTGACAAACAGTTGTTAGGCACGACCAACTGCAAGCCGAAGGGATGCAATTGGAGCTAGTTTGGAGTTAGTTTCTTGTTGGTTCAGAAAGCAACTGGCAGTACCAGCCGCAGGCCTCAGGCACGATCGTTTTTGGTTGGTTCAGAAAGCAACGTTGGGCACTACCAGCTGCAGGCTGCAGGCACGATCCGTCCTTGACTGGGTCGGCTAGCTCCAGATATGTCAACGAGCAATCGTGCGATTGTTTGGTTGGGTCGCAGATGCAACATTTTGGTCTCCCCAACCAAGCAGCTAGCATCAAGGATCCTTTTCCTGCGCGCGAACCTCAAACTTTCTTATGCGTGTTACGTGCTTGAACTGCGCAAATGAGTCTTTATTCAGGTCAAGAATAAGAATATGGCAAGGCTCCCAGCTGCTAATCTCTGCTCAAACAGTCCAAGGACACCATGTTTTGCTGAACCGCTTAGCCACACTGTCCGCCCCGAGCTTTTTATGCGTGAGGCCTCACTAGCTTCATCAAGCATGTCAAAAACCACCCACTATAGTACCTTTCGCTAGCCAAATTTTGATCCTTTCAAGAACGCCGTATCAGCAAAATGTCAAGCAATTCTCTCAGGGTTCATTCTATTGGTAAAATATGGCAAAATCATTAAACCAGAAGGCTGTTTGGAAGCAGAACAAGAAAGCTACTAAGCCCCAACAACGGCATGTCTACAATCTTTTATGCGCAGGAACTTGAGGGGCAGATTGGAGCGGAGACGAAGATGATTTCAGTGGTACCTTTAATGCCATAAATAATACACTCATGGGCTCATAGTGTTGATGTGAATTGATGGTGTCTGATCCAGATTTCAGCTTGGGAATTTGCGTGGCTGAGCCACGCCGCGGTTTGGGTTGCGGAGATACTGGAACGAATGGGAGCTAGCTGGGACCGTGAGAATCTATCCTGACACTCAAGAACCTACATGTCAACTAAGGCAGACAAGAGAAGCAAGACATGGACCTTGAATCAGCAAATATCCACCGACCCCATTTGCAGCAGGGGGAGCGCGTGAGAGGAGAAATTACCAGCAGCAAGTGTCCGTTCAGAAAGCAACGTTGCGCAGTACAGGCCCAGTACAGGCCGTTGCCCAGAGGCTTGGGCCGGTGCCCGGAGGCTCGTTCCGTCCATGCTGTTTGACTATGGCAAGGCGCTCTCTTTTCGAGCCTTAGCCCTGCGAGAGGGTCCTTTGACCGGAGCTGTGCAGGACGAAAGCCAGCTGCAAGAGGACGCAAGCAAGTCGGAAGTTGGCAGTGCGGGAAGGCAAGCAAATTGAAGGTTTGAAGGTAGTTTCTAGGCAGTTCAAAAAGCAATGTTTGGCACTATGGGCTGCCGGCCGCGGCCCAATCTTTCCACACCATAAGCCAAACGTCGTTGCTTGGCCGGCGCCCGGCGCCCGGCTGTCAGGCGTAAGCCTTTAAATCCGGCCACGGAGCCCGTGAGGCCTTCGGTGGTAACCGAAGGTTACAGGCGCTGCCGCCCCTGCCACCGACCCACCACCCCCATCCCACTCCCAGTCGACTGAAGCCTGCGTAATTTACGGTGTTTTGTGCTTGCGGCGTTAAAAAAAACATTGTTTTTTACGGTGTTTCGGGCCCTTTGGTGGGAAGGGATTTCATCTTGGCGATGTTACAAAACCTCGGTTGTTACATGGTTTTGGGCTCCAGGAAGGGGGCCCAGGGCGTAAAAATTGGCATCTTAAGATCGTTTCAACATAGATGGCCCAAACACGGCCCCAACATAGCTCCCAAGATGTCTCAACGTGGGCCAACATAGGCCCGACATAGGCCAACATAGGCCCAACATAGGGCCAACATGGTGCCAAGATTGCTTGGCCGGCGCCCGGCTGTCAGGCGTAAGCCTTTAAATCTTTGCAAAATACATCTCACCAGAAAAGAAAACATAAAACGAAATTCGAAGCGTTGCGTGTTTCTGCAGAGGCCTGCTCTACAACCGCAGGGTCATCGTGGGTTAGGAGCTTTTTCAGCGCCGTCAAAGCTCCAGCCTGTTCAATGAAATGCTGTCTCGCACAGTCTCATGAAAAGGAAAAAGAGAAACAATGACAGGGAGGAAAGGGAGGAAAGGGAAGAAAGGGAGGAAAGGGAGGACAACGGCAGTAGCAGCAACGAGAAAAATGCGTACTGCTCTGCCTCCATCAAGTGCACTCTCAGGTTGTTGTCGCCTTACTTTGACCACGCATCAGGATGACACCAACAAATGTAGGAAGTCTAAGTCTGAGTTCCCTGCAGCATATCAAAGCTACAGCAGCAGCAGCCTCACTTCTGATTGTTGCAGGAAATTTCAAGAAGATACAACTTTCTCGCCTGCAAGATTCCTTCGGCAGAGCTGGACAAAAGACCAATCACTCCTGTCCTGAGTCAATCTTGGACATGCTCTGATATCTTGAAGCCTTGCACAGACCTGTGGCAGACTTGAAATGTTTCAGCCTTCCAAGTTCTGCTTGAATCCAGCGGCACTGTCTCTGGCGACTCGACAACCGCCAGCACGCGTGGCATTCGTTCCTGCGCGAACCGTCCACCCGAACGACACTAGCCATGATGAGCAATCACGAGCAATCCATTGAACTGAAACCCAACAACTCAGGTCAAGAAACATCTAGCATTCCAGAACCAAAACGGAGACTGCATAAGACTACATAGGACATGGGACTGCAGCTTGTCCAGGATCATGCCTACTTTACAATCCCTTTACAACCTCCACTTGTCTAAAACCTGGCCGCTGACAAGGTGGAAGTAAAGCTGTACTGTTTGACTCCATTGGTCTGCTTGAATCTTCTGGCCTACAAACATTCACGTACCAACCTGCCCTTTAAAAGCTCGCTCGACATGGCTGTGCAATTTCTGGCATGTTCGGCACGTTGAAGTCACTCTAGACTCTAGTCTATGATGCTATGATGTTCTAAATTCACTCCAGGCCTGAACTGACTCTCCCTCAAGGATTGATGCCAGCAGTTGACACAGCCTGCTTGGCTCCACTTTCTTCGTGCAAAGGTGAGTTGCAGTGTTCGATGAGGTCCTAATAAGTGACCACTGATCAAGTGAAGCTACAGTCTACAGCTACAGTCTACAGTACGGAGGTTTGGAAAAGTGTTTGGCCTGGTTTGCTCCTCAAAGTTGTCTGCCTGTTTGAACGAATGAGCTATCCTCAGGAGAGTCAGCGACAGCACCAACAGGGACAGAAACAAGAACAACCGGGAAAATACAGCAGCAAGAACAACAGCAACAACGGCATCACTCTGAATGGTGTTGTGAAAAACAACATATTCTGAAAATGCAATTGTGCAAAATGCAGATCTCTCTCATTGGCTACAATGCAAACAATTGAAACTAAAAAAGATGGTCTATGCAGCCTATGCAATTGAAGCTAAAAAAATAAGAGTATTAAGATATGTTAAGATCAATTGAGTCTTCAATTGAGCTCAGTCACACCTCTAAGGCTCCAGTGGCCATCAATCCTCTGGACCTGGCAAGAAATGCGGCAAGAGATTATAGATTTCAAAGCAAAGCAAATCGTTTGTCCGTTCTGTGTCGTTCTGTATCGTTCTGTATCGTTCTGTATGTTCTGTGGGGGCACATCTGATTTAAGGCTTGGTGGCCAAAACAACATCTTGAAGACTTACAAACTTCGCTTCTTCTCAGTATTCTTGCAATCAACAGGTCGGATAAAAAGGCAGAATGAACAAGCAGGTCAAGAACTGGGTAGACAGGTGTTTAGCTTGATCTGCTTGTGGGATTCCTGGGAGGGTGAAAAAGTCTTGTCAAGGGCCAGTGAAGGGCCAAGGGAGTGTGTCACTATGTCATGCTGGAAAGGATGTGCCATGTGAAACCGTCGCCAAGGTGATTCTGACAAGTTCTCTTAGTCGCCTGAGGCAGTGCAACAAGGGATCTCGGGGCTGTCTCGCCGTGGAGCTCTTCTTGAATCCAAATTCTCTCATCTGATTTCCTTTTTTTCAATTCCGCATTCTATTCCAACAATGTTTGCTCTTGGCAGGTTTTTACCAGGTCATGTGTGATGACTTTTTCAGGAATACCTAATTATGACATTTAGGAATTCACTGGTGTTTGCATGGTTCCATTGCTGTTTGCTGAGCATTTCATGACTTATGCACTTCTTTTGGTGTAGATTCTCAGAAAGTGTTCCGCCCTTTTCGATCATGTTTGCTTTCTTCTTGTTTTGGAGCCCAGTTCCCACTACTGCTTGTGATGCAGCCCTTTGTTCAAAGTGTGGCTCATTGCCAGATGATTTTGTGCAAGAGCATTTACATTGCTCAATTTTGAAAGCCATGTATTTGGTTTGGAAACTTTAACCCCGTCCTGTTTTTGCGGCATTCGCTCCAGATTTCTCCATTTGTTTCCATGTGGCATCTCTGTCTTTTCAAGCGTGTGTGCCTGCAGCATATGGTCGGTGTCACCGATGGTTTTCCTGTTGTTGATATAAGCAGCTTTGGACATTTTATCGCTAGGTTATGTCTTTGCTCTGGCTCTATCTTTCTGTGTGTGTGTGTGCGAGTCTCATGTCTGTTTTGTTTGAGCTTTTTCAGGAAGACAAGGAGTGCCCTTGGTGAAAGTTCTGTCACAACTAATGTCCCTGCAAGAATTTGTTCCAGCTCCTGCTGCGCTACTGGTTGCTGGTACAAGACCGTTCGTTCAGGAAGCAATTCAGACGTTAAACATGTGCCAGGTTTTGTCACAAAAGTGATTCAAATCAATCCACAGTGGTTTTTGTCAAGAAAAGAACACTTGACAAGAAAAACTTCCCGCGACAGCAAGCTAAAGTGAGTGAAAGCAGGAAAAATGCATGACTAGGTGACCCTTTCTGAGGAGCCAAAGCCAAGAGTGCAGTGATTGCCGCTGCTTGTGCTTCCGGAATTCCTGTTCCGTTGTCTGAAGCAGATGCATCTGAGAGCCTTTGTGACTTGATCTGTGGCCTTGAAACCTATGGAGAAACTCAACCGTCCCTGTGACTACAAGAATCGTTTCGGTTCTCCTAAAAGTCGAATCAGTTGCGGAATGGAGTCTGCATTGATGATTACAGCGCGGCACCTGAGAACGCAAGCATCTTTATGCCCGCCCCATACATCTGGGACTGAAGCTCAACGAAAATTCAAAACCTGCAAGTTTGCAATTTTGATTGCGAAAGACGTTCAATTTCGCCACGAGCACGGTGGCGAAGCAGCAAGACTGGCCAGTGTATTTGCAATGCGGATCTTCTCGAAAGGAAGGACCTCCCGTCGGGCAAGCTCGGTGAGTTGGGAAATTCATTGAGTCCAGTGCTGGCATTGCGCACCAGAAACCAAGGCATTGAACAGATCTATCCTACACAAACTACTGATGCTACTGTAAATCTATACAGATCTTCGGTGAAAGTAATGGTGAACTGCATATAACTGCATGACACACATTGACACACTATGCTCGCTGGGCCTGGTCGTTTGGCCTGACCTTGGGGTTTAGGACTAGAAACGCAGTCTACAAGGTGATGAATTTGAGAGGCAAGTTTGAGCTGGATGAGTGTCGGGCCAGCAGGCCCACCAACATCTTTGCACCACCAAATGCTATAATACTGGAGCGGACCTCGCCCCCCACCCCGATTGAAAAAAACTGGGCAACGGAAGAACAGAAAGGCACAATGGGGTCCCACTTCCGTCCTGCGCGTTCTCAGCTAGACTTTCCAGAGTTCTGATTGCCTGAACCTTGAGTTGGGAACACAAATCATGGATTGCTACATCGCACTGGGGTGCAACTGCGTTTCATTCCATCTTCCGCTCAAAAATTCGACTCAACACAGGTGGGTAAGCACATCACCCTTTGATCAGGATGACTGCTCAAGGAGGCAAGTGCTCTTGATACCGCCTCCGCACTGCACTGTATAAGCAACATGAACACGGCATGAAGCTGCTTCTATAAAGCTGATTGGAGTATGTAGTATATATATTATATTATATTATATTATATATATATTATGTATATATTATATATTATATATATATTATTATATATATATTATATTATATATATATTATTATATATATATATATTATATTATATATATATTATATTATATATATATTATATATATATATTATATATATATATATTATATATATTATATATATTATATATATATATATTTACATATCATTCAGCTGATTTACAATAATTGATCAATAGTGGTGCTCACATGTTCTCACTGAGACTCTTGCATCACCTTTGGATGCCAGGACTTTTGAGGAAGTGCGCTCCATGCTTGGACCGGAAAGCAGCTCCAACAAACTTTCTGCAGCCACATGATCGAATCTTGAGTGGAATTGCAGAGTCTATCATGAGTAAATCTCTTGCCCCTACTGCAACCACCATGTTTGGGAGGCTTAGAACTACACAATGTCCCGGGACACCAGTGCTTGTCGGGTTATGCGTTTTTCTCTGCTCCTCATTGTAAAACTGAAAATAAACAAAAAGCTGCGGCATGGGCCGGACATCTGAAGCAATTGACTGCGTGATAGGCTAAAAATAGCTAAAAGCAATGGCCATTAACAAGTCTCGGCTTATCCTTTTGCTTCCCTCTCTTTCCTTGCTAAATCTTGCTAAATTGAACACATTTGTCTCTGCACTCTCCAAATGCACCTTTCTTTTCCGCTTGTCCGTACTACTCAAGTGGGACAAAGCGGGGGGTTCAGCGCAGAGGATCTCTGATGCAAAAAAACGACGAATGGACTTCTGAAAACGAATCCAAATAAATAAAGACAATAATTGGTTACGAATAGCTGCTCCTTTCAGTGCCAGTGTTTTGACACAGCCATGGCATAAACAGAATCAGCATTTCAAAGGCTGTTAAGTATGATAGTGACAGTGGAAAGCCACACAAGATCTTGTAGCAGTATTCATGGGACCCTCGCACGCTTCTAGCTGATTGAATTATCACTTATCACTGAGCACGCAGCTGGACATGTATCCACGGTGAAACTTTGCACTAGATGGACGTTCACACGCCAGACAAGACTTGATTTCGCCAATTCGAAAAACAGCGCCCAAGCACTGGCTCACTCGGGAATGTCCTGGATTGTCCCAAGGTGGGACCAAGTGCAGGCTGATGGAATCGAAATCTCAAAGCTGGTGCGGCTACCCCAAAGACAAAGAAAACCGAATACGTTCCTGGTTGGTGGTTTTAACCATCTTGAAAAATATTAGTCAATGGGAAGGACTATCCCATATATTATGGAAAATAAAAAATGTTTGAAACCACCAACCAGGTTCATATAAGAGTCATATGAATGTATAAGATAGCATTAAAAATATATGTCATAATATTTCTATGTTTTCAAATCAAACGAAGTTCGTTCATTGCCTAAATGTCAGGATCTGGATCGTCGCGAGGCAGGCATTTCGGGGCTGGCCTCGAGAACGAATCTGTGCAGGTTCATTTCATTTTAGTGCAACACCACAAACATTTTGTGCACCTCAAGGTTTGCTGCGAGAATTTGTCGGCATGAGACCTTGAGTCAACAGGTTTTCTATATGTTTGCGGAAAATGCGTTTGTGAATTTGGGGGAAAAATATGTGCTGCTGACACTTGGGGACAGACTCTGGGTTGCGACATACCCAAGGCTTCCAAATCGCCTTTAGGAGACAACATTCATCAATGTCTCGGGGCAGCACAACAATAGTTGAAAGAAATGCCGGGAATGTCATGATGGCTGCGAGGAGCACTGCTTGAAAAAGCGGGACACGTGACGCAGACTTACTGAAAGCACGAGTAGGACAATGCTCTTTTACTCGAAACCAATAAAATTGACAAAAACTGGATATGTACAAAATAGATTTCAAAATTAGATAAAACAAACACTGCCATTCCGTATTTGTGAGACTCCATATACTGTCTAGACTCTGTACACTCTGCACTGTGCAACTTAAAGTGGTGAAAGATGGTGAAAGTGGTCGCTTGGGCCTGATCTTCTTGCGACTCCTTGGCCACCGTGATGCATTCCTCCACCAATTCCACTTGTCACTTGAGATTTGCAACACCAGTCTTGACAGAAATGGAAGTTTAATGAAATTCAAAAAAGTTCTAATAGTTTTTTACTTGATCTTTAAATATCTTTAACTTATGACATGTGACATGCTTGGAGAATTTGCTGAGACACAACTGTAGTTTTTGAGGCAATACTGGCAATACCTTTCAATAAGTGTGGCCTGCAGAGCTGGACGTGCTTCTGGAGCTGAGACACACATGGTGCACATCCAAGCGTCCTTGGATCAGGTTTCCAGGAGATTCTGGGCATATGTTCGTTATTGTTCTATCGGATTCTATCGCTAGAAGTATCCTTGGACTCTCGGGCATCAAGACACCCTAACCCGCCTAACCCGTGTTCAAAAACGGCTCACGGAAAGATGGGACAATCGCACTACACCATGCCATAGTGGACCCTCACTGTCACCCCCAACAGTAGTAAAAGATTATTCCAGAGACTCAGATACAATCATGCAAAGCAGCATTTGAGTTAATCATCCTGCTAGGATTTTGTTGCATAGGGAGTACCGTCGAACACCTGTATAGAAAAGAAATGAAATGCAAAAACTTCCTCCACACCGTTTCTGAAATTTATTCTTTCGTCTCTGATATCACAACAACAGGATGCATTGCATTGCATCTAGACGCTATTAATTACATGTCAGAATTGCACTTTCAGCACTAGAGCTGGGGTCCTGTGTTTGTCCGCGTTCTTCCAAAGCAGGGGAAAAATTTGACCGTGGGTTCCAACTGTCCCACAAGGACACTCAATTGGGGAAGAATAGTGCCCAACAAACCTCTATATAAACGGCCCGGCATGGGCTCAACATGGGGCCAACATAGGCCAACACATTTGCTTGTTGTAGCCATATCTGAATCTGAAGATGCTTGAAGACGATTCCGGCAAGAAAAGCATGTTTGGGGATTTTTAAGGTATCAAAAATATCGAATCGACCAAACTGACCAAACTTATTGGCAGCATCTGGGTCTGCGGGTAACTAAAAACTTGTCTGAGGCTTCCCCAGTGGCGAAGCATAGCTTCCATACAGGCTCGACATCCCCAGATTTCACAATCAGGGAATCTAGGCTTGAGATGAGTTCAAATAGGAACAGCATGTCATCCAATGATCCTCCAAATCGCCAAGCCTGGGCTTAAGATAGATTCTACATACTTTCAACATTTCGCTCCGGTTGGCGGTAAAGTCTATATCTAAAGGACAGCATGTTCGATATGTTCGATATGGTTTTGCAGAATGTTCCAAACCATTTCAAGGCCCTCCAAATAGACAACTCTGGGATTGAAAATATTATATATATACATCTCAAAGTGACATATGAAGAACTCACCACGTCTTCCGCGCACAGCTCTTTTTCAACCACCTACCAAAGTTCAGTCTGTTTCACCTGCTCTCCTCAGGTTTGCTTTGGATGTGTCACAATGTGACTCGCACATAGCCCCAGACCGAATCACCTCTGGTCAGCAACCTGGTCACCCCAGGTTGGGACCTGCCTTTGCAGGTATCACCCGTCCCTTAACCTAAGGGAGGGAAGTTTCTTTTGGTCGCCCCGAAAGAGTATCCCCGAAAGAGGCTATGTACTCGCCTGCCATGCAGGCTCCCCTAACCTAGGCGGACATCTCCACGGGAGGTCGGCTCTTAGGGTTGGGAGGGTGGGGAAAGAAACAGCAATGAATGCTATTTTGGCTCAGCTCCACTTGAGCCAAAATGAAAGCATTCATTGACTCACTTAAAGATGACACATGCACACCCAAGCCTGCCAAACTCAATGCATGAATACATCTCAAAGTGACATATGAAGAACTCACCACGTCTTCCGCGCACAGCTCTTTTTCAACCACCTACCAAAGTTCAGTCTGTTTCACCTGCTCTCCTCAGGTTTGCTTTGGATGTGTCACAATGTGACTCGCACATAGCCCCAGACCGAATCACCTCTGGTCAGCAACCTGGTCACCCCAGGTTGGGACCTGCCTTTGCAGGTATCACCCAACGCACTCAAACACCCAAAGCACTAGAGGAATTCAAAGGTGAGAATGACTGCAACGAATGGCAACTGGAAAAAGATTGTGGGGAGGTACGACGAATGAAAGCTAGATCCATGGCAGCGCCACCAAGTCGTCGGCCCAGTTGCTCTTGCTCTGGACGTACTCCCAGTAGCCCTGGGCACGCAGTGCGAAGAGGGCCAAAGGAATCAGATGGCCTAGCTTTGCTAGGTCCGAATTGCTAGAACGTCCCCTCACTAAGGTCATGACTGCAGCCACAGCGTCGAGGAACCATAGACCGTGTCGATGGCGGAGAAGCCCAGGGCTCTCACTCAAGGTGTAAATTACCATGGAGAGCTCCAACTGCGCAATGTGGGTCTCTGCAGGCTGCCACAGGAATTGTAGTTCTTCGCAATTGGTAGCAACAAAACTGTAAATTCACGTTTTGGCTCGAAACGCATCACTGCTTCGATCACCTCGAAGCATTCTTCAATCTCTGAAGTCAAGCTGGTGACACTCTCGTCCTGGCAAGCCTTCACTGCCATAAGGTCACCATAGCCAACTCGCCCATAGATGCCCTGCTCCTCAAGTTTCCCGAAGTAAGAGCACCCCTACTTGGAAGCTGAAATTCGCTTAAAAGTTCGAGCCAGATTCATGGCAAGTGGAAGGCACCACCACGTAGGATCGCCCCCACGTGGGCCCCAAACCTATGTCACAAAAGCAAGTAAGGCCACATCAAGTAGGATTGCCTCCGGCTTGAAACCCAACCTGCTTACGACAGCAGAGGCCTACAGCCTTGTGGCCACTGCCTGGCAATGATCATGGGCAACCTGTGAACCTCAAGTAGCGTTACCTCTACTTGGAACCTGGCTTGCTGGGGCAGGCAAAACTAACAGCCTCCAGTTCTGCTGAAAACGCAAACACGGGTGCCAGCAAGTAGGAGGACCCCCACTTGGACTCCAAACCTGAATCACTAAGGCAATAAGGCCACACCAAGCAGGATCATCTCCTCCTTGAAACCCAACCAGCTTAAGCCCACAGCCCTGTGGGCACTGCCTGGCAATGCCCATGGGCAACCTGTGAACCTCAAGTAGCGTTACCTCTACTTAGAAACCTGGCTTGCTGGGGCAGTCAAAACCAACAGCCTCCAGCTCTACTGAGAACGTAAAAAAAAAGAAGAAAAAAAAAAGGATGACCCCCACTCGAACTCCAAACCTGAATCACTAAGGCAATAAGGCCACACCAAGCAGGATCATCT